ATATGGGGCGCCAAGAAAACAACCACAATTGTTTACAATTGGTCACATGATCACTGTGACAGCCAATGACAACTATCACATGCCTAGGAAGCCCGTGTACCGCCTCAGGCATTACAAACTTTTAGAGGGGCGGCTCCCGGAGATGTGTAACTGTGTATCATAAACAATCATTTTATAATGCAATACAGTTTTTAGCTATTTTCATCCCTTGATGCATCTCAGTGCTTTCCATCTCCTGCAGCATCTGCAAAACAAAAGTCTAAATTTGCATATCAGAGGCCGCTGCGTTTACTCTATGCGTTTTGAGGAAAGGACGCATTCAAGTCAAAAGGTTTTTAAGCCGTTTCAAATGCTGATTAAATTACTCACAATGGAAGCTGCTCTTTGATGTTTACAAGCTGTAGCTTCCTGAAGAATCAGCTGGTCCCCTGAGCACTGGTCCTGATATCCTGTTTTAGGGTGGCTCCTTTCCCTTGCAGGTTCCTAATGGAGACAACCAGTATGAATCAGCTGAATGCTTATCTTAAAGAGCTGGTTCACCTAAAAAGAAACAGCCTATGCAGTCAACAAGCCCCAATAGGTTACTATAAACGAAACCATCTTCATTAATGTATCTGTAGGGCATTTGTGCCTCCACTGAAGCCTGCCTAAAAAAACTCCCAAAATTCTGCGTAGCTCACCCTGTCCTTTTGCCAGGACGATCCAGCCATTGGACGCATGCGCAGTGCGCTCTCTCCTCTATGGTAACCACTGAGCTCAGCCACAGCAACAGGAAAGAGGGCACACTGTAATCCTGGGGTGAACATGCAAAGGCCAAATTAATCAAACCTGGAGCAGACAGAATCTGGAGCAGTTGCAACCATGGCAACCAATCAGCTTCTACCTTCCGTTTTGTTCAGTAAGCTTTGAAGATGGAAGCTGATTGGTTGTCATGGGCAACTGCTTCAGATTCTGTCTGCGCCAGTTTTTTTCCCCCTTGGAGTCTCTCAGGCAGACTTCAGTGGAGGCGCAAATGGCCGACAGGTAAAGAAGATACATGACTGAAGATTGTTAAAACTTGCCTAGTTTATTGTTACCTACTGGGGCTTGTTGACTGCAATTGTACCCGTCACTGGCGATTTGTTGGTTAGGGCCCGTTTACACTATCCAGTGCATTCACATCACAGTTCCATGACATCAAAGCCTCCCTGCATGCATGCTTTTTGGCAATCTCAGCGCACTGGAACGCAGGGCATGACTGTACCACGTGTTCTGGTGCGTGCAATTTCACTGCGGGCGGGAGGCTGTAACTGCACCGCCCCACCCCAGAATGCGGGGAGGTTTTGATTCCACCGCCACACTCTCTCCCACCCCAGCACGCAGGGAGGCTTTGATTGCACCGCCACACCCCTTCCCACCCCAGAATGCAGGGAGGGGGAAAAAAGTACTGCTGTTAATAAATCGCCAGCGGTGTGACGCGGCCCTGTTAAAGCTTTATTACCAGTGTATTTACAATACATTATAGACACACAGGGGGTAATTTATCAGAATCTGGAGCAGTTGCCCATTGCAACCAATCAGATTCTCTCTTCCGTTTGTTCATTTCAGATTTAAAACTAAAAGAGAGAATATGATTGGTTGCCGTGGGCAACTGTACCAGCTTCTGCCTGCTCTAGTTTTTAGTTCTAGATAATTTCCACCCACTGACAGAAGTCTTTAATGCCAGCCCTTTATTCATCACTTCTGTAATTTACTGCTGAACTCGCATTAACAGACATCATCACATAATGCGGCACACCAATCAGAAGAAACTTTTTAAAAATTCTCGGTCGGCGCTGCGTGACGTCACTATAACCGCAGCGGCTGATTGGACGAAAGGCTCGATGGGTGGCGGAAATGGAACTAGAGGGAAGGCGGAAGAGTACGCTGCGAGTGACGTCAATGGTTGGCAAGCGTGAACGGCGTCATCGCTGGTTGGCTGGTAAATAGGGTTCCCTGTGTGTGACGTATAAAGAGCGCGACCGGCATTCCAAATAGGTAAACAGGTTTCCTTGTGTAGTGTTTAATGTTCCCTTTGGCATCAATTATCAGCAAGGGAACAGAGGCGCCATGTATTGCTTTATATATATGAACTTTGCGGTCCTCTTGTCATGTGTGTGTAGGTGCTGTGCAGGACCTGGGGGGTATTTTACAGAGATGGCTATGCTCTGAGCAGTGGTGTGCAGGCAGATAGTGGGCCCTGCATCAACCTTTTATAATGGAGATCTGTTGTTGTCAGATGTAACAGTGGCACAAACTCCAAATTATACCTATGTATACTGAACCTGAGCATAGGATTCCCAAGGCCTTGTTCACACCTGCATTGCATTGGTTTAACCTGCATTGCCCAACAAGAGGATTGACAGTCCTTTCTATGAGGCCTGGTCACTCCTGCGCACTGCTGTGGATTGGAAAAAATAATACCGGTGTGTTTATTGGCACATCAACACGCGCATTTGGCCCCATAGACTTCAATGGCAATGCCTGAAAAACGCATGCATGGATTTTTAGCACATGACAAGAAGCTTCCATTCCTTAGCAGCCTATACTTTACCCGACTTTCACTGTCAAAACAAAAAAATGCAGAAGAGATAAAAATGCGGATCAAGTCACCATTCACATTGATACATTTAAATGCAAGCGTTCTGACAGGCAATTACTCATGCATAGTGGTTACCTATTAAAAAAATATGGTGTCTGTTGTCATGTCAGCGCTGCAGTGCGGTGCATTTGTTTTTAAAACTATGACAGGTACAATTTTTTTTTTTTTCTAATTGATTTTGTGCATTGGGAGACTCATAGAAGTAATTGGAAACCCATCAACATGCAGAAAATATGTGTGTTGATGCATTGGCGACCGGTATTAACAAACCTTGGTCAATGGCTGTTAACCCTTTCCATTCTAATCTAAACAACGCATTGAAAACTTATGTTAATGTTCGTCAAAAGGCACGGCAACACACAAAGAAAAAGCACCTGTCTAATGGTACAAAAAAAGCACCTCTATGTACACGTGTAGATCTAACTGACATTTCATTCAATTGTATGCACGGCTTTGTTTTTGCAATGCACTGAAGTGACATGCAGTGTGCTGTGTAGAAATGCAGACAAGCTGCGTTTTTAAAGAGGTTCCCACTGCTCTCCTTACTGGTATGTCCCATATGTCCCTTTCTAAAGTGGGTGCTGCAGTGATGGTGGATGGCGCCACTTTAAATCCAAATAGTAAAGTATATCACCAACTAGCACACGTTGGTGTGCTAGTGATATACTTTACTATTTCAGGCTGCAATTTTAGGCACACAGTTCACTAATCAACCACATTAGTTCTGACATGGATGTGGTAGAAGCAGGGCCAGCCCTTTAATGGGGCAACCTGAGGCCGTCGCCTCAGGTGGCACCTCACTTGCGGGGGGAGGGGGGGAGCCACAGCGTCCCAGGTTGCTAAAAGTTCATAGCAACCTCTAATTCTTCGGCTTCCTGCCCCAGCTCACAGACGTCACCGGTTGCCAAGCGCTGATCGGGGCGTCCCACCAAGCTCCTGGCAACCAGTGATCTCAGTGAGCTGGGTGGGACTCCGGACAGAGCCACTAACAAAACGTCTCCTCAGCTCCATCTAGTGGTCATAATGCAGTATTTTCCTGGTATGGGCTCATATTGGAGCAGGGACGTGCACCCAGGGGCAAGCACCTGGCTCATTCTTTTCCTGAGCCGTGGAGGAGCGGGGCTTCTTTTATGTGTTTTCGAGGTAACAGTGTCGCTTTAAAATGATGCCATTGGATGACTAACAAGACCCTCTCCCACAGGGATCTGTCAGCAGTCTACACCATGGTTTTGCTGCCATCCAGCTTGACGGAGGAAGAGGAGTCTCTGCAGAGAAAGTATGCCAAGCTGAAAAAGAAGGTTCGTTGTAGCCGGTGAAAAATGAACAACTGGCATAACCTAAATCTGTGATATCTCCCAAAGTGATCCGTTAGTGGTAAAGGACTCAATAAATACAACTGTTCTCGCCGCATCTTTGCAATATCCCCTCATTTTACAGTGGGTTGCAGGTTCCACAACACCATAGTCACCAAAAAGAGGAAGAAACAAAAGAAACGCACTCTAACCAAAAATATTGTGTGAAATGTTCAGATCTTCACCGATCAGCCGTAACATTCTGACCACTGAGAGGGGAAGTGAATAACATGGATTATCTCCATACAATGTCAACTGGAAGTGGGTGGGATATATTAGCAGGGGCGTCCCGAGGCTGGGTTGTCACCCGGAGCGGATGCCGGGTGACACCCCGGCGTGACGTCAACTTCATTGCGCATGCGCAGATATTTTATTGATACCCGTCGGCTTCCATCACCAAGAGAGAGGAGGGGACGTTCATCCGTCGGGATAAGGTATGCCACCGGGTGCCCTCCTCTCTCCTAAAACTGTCGTGCTCTTGCCCCATTACCGAGTGCCCGACTCTTCAGAGGGGGTGACACCAAAATACCATTTTGGTATCACGCCTCCAATGGTGTCACCCGGGTTCAGGCCACTGTATATTAGGCAGTATGGGAACATTTTGTCCCTGATGTTGATGTGTCGGAAGCAGAAGAAAGTAAGGGTTTGAGCCATTTTAGCAAGGACCAAATTGTGACAGCTAGACGACTGGGTCAGAGCACTTCCAAGACTGCAGCTCTTGTGGGATGTTCCCGGTCTGCAGTGGTCAGGACCGACCAAAAGTGGCCCAAGGAAGGAAAACTGGGAAAACGGCAGCAGGGTCATGAGCGGCCAAGGCTCACTGATGCACATAGGGAGCGAAGGCAGGCCTGTGTAGTCCGAGCCAATAGAAGAGCTGCTGTAGCTGACATTGCTGAAAAAGTGAATGCTGCTTCTGATAGAAAGGTGTCTGAGCACACGGTGCATCACAATTTGTTGCATATAGGGCTGCGTAGCCGCAGCTATTACAGTGTCTTTTCCGGGTCCAGGAGACAAGACTGATTCTGATAGTTGTTACGTATCCTGCACTTTCCTTCTGGCCCTGATATTTATATAAACTGAATAGGACGCACACTTGCTAATGAGGGTTGCAAAAGAAAAGATCATAGATAGCATAACAAATGCAGGAGGCAGTTCAATAGCTCATAGCTACACTATATGGCCAAGGGTTTGTTTACACCTGACCATTACACCTATATGAGCTTGTTGGACATCCCTTTGCAAAACCATGGGCATTCATTTTAATATGGGTTGCCGTCCTCCTTCTATGACAACCCCCACTATTTTGGGGAGGGTTTCCACAAGATTTTGGAGTGTATCTGGTGGAATTTGTGCCCATTCACTAAAAGAGCATTTGTAAGGTCAAGTACTGATGTTAAATAAGAAAAGCTGGCTCACAATCGGCATTGAAATGCATCCCAATGGTGTTCAGCACGGTTGAGGTCAGGGTTACTCCACACTGAACTCATCAAATCATGTCTTTATGGACACGGGGGCACAGTCATGCTGGAACAGAAAAGGATCTTCACCAAACTGTTGGAAGCGCACAGTTGTCTAGATTGTCTTTGAATGTTGTAGTATCTACAGTACCTATCACTGGGAACACCCGAACTCAATAGCTTGGAGGGAGTGTGAACATACTTTTGGTCCTACAGAGTATCTGAAGGTGGAATTCCATTTGGGAATGTTTATTGACAGTCTGATTCTGTGCATGGTTTAGAATCTGTCCATTAGTATTTATATTTGTCACTTATATTCAAGAAAAAAGCACTGCTCGCCCTGAAGAAACAGACATCCACTAACCAGACAAGCCAGGTCGGGATCAAGAGATGTGAGTTGTATTTCATATTGTCTCTGCGCTTACTTTTATCCAAAATCTTTACAATTTCTAATTTCCTTCCTCGCCTCCCTTAGCTATGTCTGACCAGCCGACAGTGGACACAGCCACAGCTACAGAACAGGCCAAGATGCTTGTGAAGTCTGGAGCCATCAGCGCCATCAAATCTGGGACCAAAAACAGTGGATTTAAGCGTTCCCGGACACTGGAGGGCAAACTTAAGGTCAAGCCTAGCAATGCAATAATCTGTAATAGATACAACATCTGTGTGTCTTCTCTTGCTGCAGCCACCAGTTGATGCTGCATATATTGTGCATTGATATGACGTCCATACTAAGTTTATATTCGAGTATTTAGGAGCCCAGTCAGGGTGGTAGACAGTAACGCAAATGTTGGTCAGTACACACACTCTCACTCTCTATCACTCCCTCTCTCTCTCTCTCTCTGTCTGTCTGTCTGTCTGTCTCTCTCTGTCTGTCTCTCTGTCTGTCTGTCTGTCTCTCTGTCTGTCTGTCTGTCTCTCTTTCTTACTTACTTACTTACTTATTCACTCACTCACTCACTCACACACACACACACACACACACACACACACTCTTCCACATGTACA